CCTCCGCGGACCCCCTAGGGGTCGCGGACCCCCTGTTGAAGACCCCTGGCCTAGTGGTTAAAACAGTGCGCTTGTGCTCTGAAAAGGTTGCAAGTACCCGGTTCGATCCCCACAGCCTCCACTCTGGGTTCCTGAGCAATTGTCAAACAATGGCAGCCAACTGCTCCCCAAGGTAATAGGTTAAAATGCAGAGACGGAATTTCCCCATTTTGGGACAATAAAGAGATTTATATTTTGTTTGTTTTTTTGTTTGTTTTTTTAAAATATTTTTTTATATTACTGTATTATTCAGTATATTAGAGTAGGGTAGTCTTCTTTTAATTGTCAAAATATCTTGTGTTGACAGTTGGGCTACAACTAATGATTATTTTGCAAATCGATTAATCTGTTGATATATTTTTCAATTAAGTGATCAATGATTGGATGGCCAAAGTTTCCTTAAAAAAGATCTTTTATTAAAGTAAACCAGGTGAAACTAAAACTTTTCTACTTGAGGAGTTCCTGATAGAATATATTGACAGACATTAATCTTGAATGCAAAATGTTTATTTATTTACTTTTTAATCTTGGTATAGTTACTGCTCTGAGTGGGTTGCATTGTCAGCTAAAGGCATATTTCTCTATACTCCAGTTAATGATTAATCAATTTCTAAATAAGTTTAGGATTATTTCACAAATCGATTAATCTGGTTTATTATTTCAGCCCTAGTTGACAGGCAGGTTACCCAGGATAAAAAAAAAATGAAATGAAAACTGTGTTTTCCTGTCAAAATCCTTTCCATATGTTTGTAGATATCTATCCAATATTGACTTATGACCAGGCAATCCCAGAATATATGCCAGTGATTGGCCTCTGGACTTCCACATTGTCTGCAGCATGTAGGTTTCTCTTCAAGGCAGGTCATTTTCTGTTTTGGAGTAATAAAAAAAAATTGATAAAGCATTTCAAATAAAATTCTCTCTAAAAATTGGAATTTGTTCAATTCCACTGTGATGTAATACAATTACCGCATTCTTTTTTATGTTTTCCTCCATCCTTTAGTTGATCATTAAGTTTACTGATATATATTTTGCAAGGGAGAATTTGGCCAGGAAAGAACGTTATTACATGTTACCTACCAGGCAAAAGGTTCAGGCCACAAGTTTCACATTATAAACAAGTTAAAGTCATCATGATTCAGGTTTAAGATCCAGCTTAAAAATAGCAGGTATATATATTTTTTTAAAATCAGCCTTAAATTCCATGCAAAACCAAACATTTAGCTATGCTATACTCTAAAATGATACCATGATAAAGTAGAAAAAAGAGGAGAACTCAGTTCTACCAAGTTTATACAAAAATCTGGTTTCACTGAAAAGAAGTCAGTTTAGAAAACGCGTATTAGAGGACCCATTGCAGCAGAATCTGTTTTCATTAAGACAATGTCACTAAAAATCCAGAAGGTTTAAAGTTCTATCCTGAATAAAAAATTAAGATACTACTTGCTTTAAACTGAGCTTTGTCAAACCTTCAGCTTTTCTAACGTTTGACTGGATCATTCTGGACCACATATGTGCTCTGAACTAAGCTGTTATAGTAGTTCTGGGTTTATGTTTAGGGTCGCCTTACAGGAAGAAGACTTTTTCACATGAGGCTAATTGTACAGCCATGGTATATGTTGTTTGTTCTGAAGGATGGGGACAGGAAGCCGAAGCCTAACTTTAAAAAAAAAACCCTCTTCAGGATTATCTGATTTTGACCCTGATTGAAAACAGTCTTGGACATTTTCAGTGTTAAATCTGGAAGATAAGCGTGCTGTTATATGGCCAAGAACATTTTATCGGCCAAAGAAAACAGAGCTCTCTGAAGTAAAGTGAAAAATGTGGTGACAGCAGCTTCATGTTCAGAGCATTCTCTTTGTGAGCGCTGCCATTGATCATTTTGCAGACATATAAATCAAAGGCCTTCATGGAAAAGATAATTTTGGTAAAATTTAATATGTAGCATGCAGAGGAGTCTGAATATTGTAGGTCATTAACATCTAAAGTGATGTTCTGATTAATTTAAAAATTGCTGGTTTGTAACTAAAGATTTTAAGTTCTGTGCATCATTAAAGCCTTTATTAAAATACATTTTTGGCAAAAAATAAATTCCCTTTCTATTGTATCAAATTCACCAAGCAATTAGGTTGAGCTATGCTGCTATATGGCAAATCAAGGATTTTAAATGATATCAGGATCATGAAGGCATACATTATTTAACTTTAAATTTGTTTCTGGAGTTGAAGGTCGAGCAGCTAATTAAGTCAATGTGAAACTATTAAAATGTTTTGCGAAACTGCAAGAAGCTGTTTAATGCCCATTTTAGCTGTATTTGGTGTAGGGTTGTCACGATACTAAAATTTTCAACTCAATACCGATACTAAGGAAAATATTCGATACTCAATACCATTTTCGATACCACAAGGATAAAAACAAAGACTCCAAAATTCAACAGAAATATCTTCATTAATAAATAAAATACAATAAATAAACACAATAAAGGTTGTATGCTGTGCATAATATTAAGCAAGCTTGATAAAAAACTTATAAAATTCAAATTAAGTGTTCCTTCCTTGGCTATGCTTTGCACACATAACAATGACACTAGCCAAACCGGTTAAGAAACAAAAATAATTCTCAGCAGCCCCAACTGTTACAAAAAAAAAGGTCTGAAACTGAAAAGAGCACAGAATTATTCAATCACACAGTGTTCAGAAAGTGCATT